GGAAACATTTGTGTAATATACAAATTAAATGGCTTACGTGTACAGATCGAAAACAGCTTGCTATTCCGGCCAAATGAAAGAACAATATGGTATCACTGAAACTAAGTTTGTAAATCTAATAAAAAATAATAGTGAGCAACACACATACTACATGTACTGTATGTATGTGTTGCTCACTATTATTTTTTATTAGACTTACAAACTTAGTTTCAGTGATGTCATATTGTTCTTTAATTTAGCCGGAATAGCAAGCTGCTTTCGATCATCTGTACACGTGCCATTTAATTTGTGTATTGCACAAATCTTTCCACGAAACAGACAGTTTTAAATGCAGAAGGTGCGAAAGTGCAGAATCACTCCAGCATCCCCTTAACCGGTCGCAAAGTTTACAAGATTACATGATCGAAGTTTGTAGTGATTAAACCCGGTTATTAACATGACCAACTCTCACCATGTAGTGGTAACAAATGAGAGTAGAAATAGAAACATGGTAGGAAAAGTATCCGTTGATAATAAAGAATATAAAGTTGACACAAACTGTGGTCAAAAGAACACTCAAATTATTAATGAAAGGGAATAAAAAGTATAGAGTTAACCGATTTCAGTGAAAATAAAATAATAAATAGCAGGTGAAAAATCATGTAGTGTCTTAAGTCATATATGTAAGTAAAGACGCAATAAATTAAACATACCGATTATATTTTAACACACGAACAACCATGTTGTACTTTCCCTCATTAATTTCGACTTTGTAAATAGAAATGTCAGACTTGAAGCATGATTATGTCTTAGTGTCAGCGGCGATACGTAATATTTCTACGTTGAAATTTATGGGGAAATTTTGCCAAAATTTTTTCCATAAAAGTCAGAATGCGATTCGACAAAAATATCGCCAGAAGTCGAAGCATCGCTAGTAATGGAATGTCATAGGGTTCCTTAAATCGCATAGCTTATCGCCACCCATCGATAGCGACAGCACCGCGAGCGGCAGGAGGAATAGTGGAGGAGGAACGACAGGAGGCGTGGTAACAACGCGCACGCTCCACGTGACCCTGTCGTTTGGAAGGCGGGACTTGAGCAACGGGGCACACAACTACAACAAGCAGTAGAACCAGCCGGTGGTCAGCGACGTTCTCTCTGTCGTCGCGCGCGCGGGACACCTCGAGCTGCGCTCGTTGCACGTACAACACCTGCCGCGCGATTAGGCACGCACGGTTCGTCCATCCGTAACCCGTTCCGGGGCGACCTTTTTTTGAGGCTGCAAATTTTGAGCAGTGCCTATCCCCCGACCCGAAAATCGGAGCAACATCGGCAGAGCGCGATCGCCCGGGCGCCGTCGGAATCATGCACGGGAAAACGATTGACGATAACAACAACAACGCCGATAATAATGTCGACCTGTGAGTGAATATGCGCGCGGGAGAATGAGACTCGCTCGTTCGAAGCGGGAGAACATCCTCAGGATCGCTGGAAGCGGACAACCTCGTCATGATGTTGGTTCCGCAAGATATCATGGGTGGCCCATCGAAGATGCTGTACCAAATGAACAAGTACTACGCCGAGCGCGTGCAGGCTCGCATGGGCCAGGTGCAGAAGACCATACGGGAGGTGTGCAAGGTCGTACAGGATGTGCTCAAGGAAGTCGAGGTGCAGGAGCCACGCTTCATCTCCTCGCTGACCGAGTGCAACGGCCGCTACGAGGGCCTCGAGGTAATCTCGCCGGGTGAATTCGAGGTGGTCCTCTACCTAAATCAGATGGGAGTCTTCAACTTCGTCGACGACGGCACCCTGCCGGGCTGCGCCGTGCTCAAGCTAAGCGATGGACGCAAGAGGTCCATGTCCCTCTGGGTTGAATTCATCACCGCGTCCGGTTACTTGTCGGCCAGGAAAATACGTTCGAGATTTCAGACCCTGGTGGCGCAGGCCTGCGACAAGTGTAACTACAGGGACTCGGTGAAGATGATCGCCGACACCACCGAGGTGAAACTACGGATACGGGAGCGGTACGTCGTGCAGATCACGCCAGCGTTCAAGTGCTCCGGCGTGTGGCCGCGATCTGCCGCTCATTGGCCGATACCGCACATCCCCTGGCCGCATCCCAACCTGGTGGCGGAGGTCAAAACGGAGGGCTTCGACCTGCTCTCCAAGGAGAGCGTCGCGCTTCAGGGCAAGCAATCGGCGATGGAGGGTGACGCCTGGGTATTGTCCTTCACGGAAGCGGAAACCAGGCTGCTGCAGGGCGGCTGTCGCCGAAAGTGTCTCAGCATACTCAAAACCATGAGGGATCGACACCTCGAGCTGCCCGGAAATCCAGTCACCAGCTACCACATGAAGACATTACTGCTGCACGAGTGCGAGAAACATCCCCTCGAGACCGAATGGGACGAGGGATGCCTGGCCGATCGTATCAATGGCATCTTCTTGCAGCTGATATCCTGCCTACAGTGTCGGCGGTGTCCGCACTACTTCCTGCCGAATCTCGATCTCTTCAAGGGAAAGTCACCTAGCGGTCTGGAAAATGCTGCGAAGCAAGTCTGGAGACTTACGAGGGAGCTGCTCACCAACAGCCGCGCGCTGGAGAAGCTTTAGCGTCCTTCTGCTCGAAAGCACGCGATGAAAAAAGAACACGCCCGATGACAAGAGGAGGGAAAGGCGATGACACGTGTAACACGAGTTTCGAGGACGTGTTTACCGCATGATATTACGTGCTTCTTCGATACCACACGCGAACAGTATTGTAGTTATTATTATTACTTAATACACGCTTGTATCAAGGGGCTCGGTGCATTGTTACAAATAACTCTCGACATGTAAGCCATTTCAAATCGTACTTGTTTTCCTTCAATAACAATCGCGATTCAATGAGCAATAATGATCGTCGAGTAGATAGTTCAGACTTCGAAGTTTCTTTTTCCAACATTCAAACAGTCGCATGGAAATCAAATGGGCATATAATTGAAAATCTAGCCATAGCTACTTTCTATAGCTATTGTATTTGACTTGCTCCAAATTCCAAAATTGATTGTATTATTTATTGCAATTAAACATTTCGTTCGTCGAATGAAATAAGATCAAGTCTCTATGTTATTAGAAGAGTCGTGAAATAAACCAAATTGATTTCTTGATCGTTTAGCAAACTATATATGCTTGACTGTCGAAGTCGAATGATATCCACTTAAGATGGAAATCAAATTCACGTAAATTATAAAAAAAAGTTGAAAGAACAATAAGGGAAAGTATACAATCAACTAAACTATCTAAATGTGTTACGAAAAGTATATATATACTCTACTGATTTCGTTTTGTTTTTACGTTTCGATTTTTTTCGAATTTTATATATTGAGTTTTACTTCGTTCAATATAAAATGTGCAATTAAACTTATGACACCCATGCGACTAGATAAGTGCTAAGTATGGCACTCGATAGTTAATATAAAACATGTTACAACGTATATGGGTTGTGCAATTGATTCTGTTGAAATAGAATATTTTGTATAGCTGTTTAGTGCGAAATAACCACTTTGTCTCGATTATAAAACAACGAAATGTCAAAATTGTAATAGCAATAAGATAGAAAAGTAAATTCCGAGGACAATGTTCTCCTAAAATTTAGTGATACTCCGCATGAAACTGCATTGACGAATGAACGTTAACACTTGGAACATTTTGATGAACTAAGGGTTATATTCGCATTTTAGATTATTTACGAAACATGTAAACGTATAAAATACATATGTAATACGTTTCGATTAACTATCATTGCAATTATCCTTTTATTTAAGCAAAATAATGTGATTTGTTATTCTTATTAATATTTATAATCGGTTAGCGAATAAGCTTCCGGTAGTTATACAACATATTGTTATATGTATATATGTGGTATACATACTTCTTTTGTATTATTTATATGATATTTATTTTTTAATTGGATCATTATATATATATGTTTGAAACATAAAATGTACATAATGAATAAATGCATTAATTTCATCTCAAATTAAACAATTATTTACTTTGGAAAAAGAAACTGTTCCACCTTAAATTACATCCAATTGTGATTGCCTTAGTCATTGTATTTTAATATTATTCAGCAAATTTTATAAATATTTGTATGAAATATATGTGTAGATATATATTTAAAAAACTATACGTGTATGCTTTCAAACACATTATCCAACTAGTTGTATAAATATCACACAAGTAATTAAAGTATTTTTAGCTTGAAATACTTCAGCATAGCCGCGTGAAACTTCGTGTTTTAGTAAACATTGCTTAACTTGGCGAATTTATTTTTATGAGAACTGTTAAACGTGATTTGGTTCGTAAATTTCACGTTTCGCAACAAGCAGCATTGAAATGTGATCGTATCTTCGCTAATTAACTTTCAACGGAGTGATTTTTCTCGTGCAAGAATATGTATTTCTCAATGCCTCGTATATCCAATCGTGATACGCGTGTACTGCACAATCATTATGCCGAATACTCGTGCTTAACACGTATGTTATAGAAGCCTTGGATGACTCGCTGGCAGCAAGGCGAAGACTATCATCTTCATTATACGCCTACCTAGAATATCACGTTCTTATCTTAATTTTATCCTTAACGTTCCGCATCTTCCTTTCCTGGTGATGACATTCGTTAACCGGTGCCATTCACTTTTCTTGCTTTACCACGCGTTCGACCATTTCCAAATGCGTATGATAATTGTTATTACACTCTAACACGAACAGTAAAGATCTCTATTGACTGTGGAATCTCAAATTACATTCTTCACTGCGAGAAACTACAGTATTTTTATCATTATTATTGTGCATTAAGATACTGACATCCCCTTGCCTTTTCTCGTTTTCATCATTGAAAATACGCTCTTCCTTTATTTCACATACGCAAAGCGGAATAATCAAATAATACGATTGCTTCATCAATGCTAACAATAATATGTTAATTATTCCAGTTGTTACTGTCAAAGAACTTATACCGACAAGATCGATCCGGCACAGGTTTATTGTAATTTTTGAGGAATTGAAGATATTAATTGTTTGTCCAACCGATTTGTTTGTGCCCGAAAATACTTTAATGAATTTACTGACACTTGTACTCTCGGAAGAAAACATTTTTCAATAATCTGGATTCAACGAGTCGGTGAATAATATTGTTTGCAACAGTCGGGAACAACTGATGGTCTATAAACGGCAATCCGGTGAAAAAAAACAGTGTCTTTGACATAAAAGAATTTGAGGTAACTCTATTCGGCAGTATAGACACGATTGTGGTCCACCATGTCGAAAATTTTGGAATAACTAAAGGGGCTACAGAGGAGGGACCGTGCCCTCGAGGATGGGAAATAAACTAAGCAGTTCCTGCATAATTCATAGGGAGGAAGAAGGGCTACCACGAGGGTTGCCTCGCATTACCTTCGTTCCCCTATCGTGGCACGCTACACACGAACGCTGCTAGAGTATCCGTGCCGGATCGATCTTGCCGGTCTGGCAGAGTTAACCACGCCCGCGCAGCGTGGCGGGCCTCCGATTGGCTGAAAGACCTTGGCAGAAGGCGTGGTCTGGCGGAGAGGGCGTGCCAGCAACGCCGTGCGTTCGTGCCGGCCACGGAGGATGGGTGACGCGGAGGAGGTAGACATCAGCGCAGTCGGCAATCTGCTCCTGCACGGAGACGCTCGCGATACCTCTTCCTCCCGCCTTCGTTGGTGTCTCCGACGCACGGTGCGTCCTGGCGAACGCCAGGCGGAAAACGAACCCAACGAGGTCGAACGGTGGGTTACGAGCGGCGAATATCGCGTCCTCCTCGCAATGCGATAGATCGCGCGGGACGGCTCGATGACAACGCGAGGCGGGGAACAAGGCCTGGATGAAAAGACACGAGAATGCAATGACCCGGAGCAGTTGAGGACCGTACAATAGCCATCCGTGGACTACGGGCGGTGCACGATGCTGGTACCGCCTGATATGATTTCGTCCCACTCCAGGATGGTCTATCAGTTCAACAAGTACTTCGGCGAACGGGTGATGAGCAGGAAGAGTCAGGTGGCGAAGACCATTCAGGAGGTGTGTCGAGTTGTGCAGGATGTGCTGAAGGAGGTGGAGGTGCAGGAGCCCCGATTCATCTCGTCCCTGACGGATTACAACGGCCGATTCGACGGCCTCGACGTCATCTCGCCGACGGAGTTCGAGATCATCATCTATCTGAATCAGATGGGCGTGTTGAACTTTGTGGATGACGGCACCCTGCCGGGCTGCGCCGTGCTGAAGCTTAGCGACGGACGCAAGAGATCCATGTCCCTATGGGTGGAGTTCATCACCGCGTCCGGTTACCTGTCGGCCCGAAAGATACGCTCGCGTTTCCAGACCCTAGTGGCGCAAGCCTGCGACAAGTGCACGTATCGGGATTCGGTGAAGATGATCGCCGACACCACCGAGGTGAAACTACGGATACGCGAGCGGTACGTCGTGCAGATCACGCCGGCTTTCAAATGTGCCGGACTTTGGCCGAGATCGGCCTCCCATTGGCCGATCGCGCATATACCCTGGCCGCACCCCAACATTGTCGCCGAGGTGAAGGCGGAGGGCTTCGACATGCTCTCCAAGGAATGCATAGGCCTGCAGGGCAAGCAGTCCGCCATGGAGGGCGACGCCTGGGCGTTGTCGTTTATCGACGCGGAGAATCGATTGTTGCAGGGCGCGAGTAGGAAGCGTTGCCTCAGTATACTCAAGACCCTCAGGGACCGGCATCTCGAACTGCCGGGGAACCCGGTCACCAGCTACCACATGAAAACCCTGCTGCTCTACGAGTGCGAGAAGCACCCGCTTGAGACGGAATGGGACGAAGGTTGCCTGGCCGAGCGGATAAACGGCATTTTTCTGCAGCTAATCTCCTGCCTGCAGTGCCGCAGATGCCCGCATTACTTCCTACCGAATCTCGATCTCTTCAAGGGGAAATCGCCCAGCGGCCTGGAGAACGCCGCGAAGCAGGTGTGGAGACTCACCAGGGAGTTGCTGACCAACAGTCGCGCGCTCGAGAAGCTGTAGTGACCGAACGCCACGTGGCTGAATCGTCGTACGGTTCGTCAACTGATCTCGCAAAATCTCGTCACACGTTCCTGTAATCGCGGCGTCGACGACTTCGACGCGCGAGTAAGATACGTCTAACCGTGCAAGGACTGCGCGAGAGTCATCGTGCACCGGAGACCTAGTGACGTGAGAGAAACACTTGCGGGCTTTTCCAAGAAAAAGAAAGACACGTTTCTCGTCGCCACCCAACGCACCGCGGAGTCATCGGGGGAGTCCGATCTGCACTTTCCTGGATTTCGCGGATCCGAGGATCGCATATGTTTTCGATGTTCCCCGAAGATATTTAGTGTGTGCCGGAAGCAATCCTCGCGAGATTTAATCACGCGCGTATGTGATGTTTGGTGAACACGTGATTGGCTCGCAGACGGTCGAATTAGTGCCATAAATAATCTCTTCGACGTTAGAGACAGATTTCGTTTCTTCTGCCGGCCTCGAAATATTCAGTAAAATATATCATTTAGCCGCAGAAAATTATCATTCGGTTGCAACGGCGGCTTGCAACGCTGTGACGATGCGCGTGTAACAGCCTTTAACCCGTGGTACAGAAATCTTGTTGTTGAGTGAAGAAACTACTATTCTCGGCGTTTAACTCTTTAAGATCTTCAAATCTGTACGACCACAGTAACGAAAACTTTTCGCACAACGTTCCCTCGTTTCTAAATACGATACCTTTTTACCACGAGGCTCGTGAGCTTCGCGACGGTCTTAAAGCCTAAGACCGCAAGCACTGCCACGCATTGATACTTAAAGAGTTGACGCGACTGATCAGTTTTAATAATGTTTTCTCTTAACACGAATAGTACGTTTGTTCTGTAGTTTAGTGATCGCGACCACGGTTAAGGGTTCTATCGTTTCTCACTTAAGTCCCTCGCGCGTCGACCTCCGCCGCCTATGTAAATAAAACTTGAAAGATATTTATTGAACTGTAACGAAATGTGAAATATAATACTATTTATATGGAAGCCTGGTCGCGTCGGTTGATGACACATCATGCAACACCCACTCCCTACCCCTGTGTCACCCGAAAAAAATCGCTCGTAAATATCGCACCGCGTTGATCGTTAAACGTTTTCGCTCGCGATGAACGCGCGGCGGAGAGAACGAGTTAGGCCTCGTAAGTTTTACAGTCGCTCTCGCACTTTTTGTCCTTTGCGTCACCAAATGGGGATCGAAGCGAGGAGGAGACACCGTGTGCGCCGCCACCTTCCTTCGCGTTGCGACGGCAAGCCATCGGCGATCGTCGCGGGGCAATCGGGACAGCGTATTCGGTGTTTCCGCATATTTTTACGTCCTGTGCACCGTGGAATAGCCCGCTTATCGCTTTTCCTAGAGACCGTTTGACGCGCCACGGCCAAATGACTCATGACACGCACCAAATGCAAATCCCTATTATTTATCAAGAATTATTTATCAATTTTTATGACAATAGTCATATGCGCGTCAGCTCGTTATCTTCCCGTCGATTTCGCTTCCCTTCGACGAGTCTATAATTACTGTCGTACGTCATTCCTTTTTCGACTTAACTACCTTCCTTTTTGATAAGCTAATTGGACCTTATCTCAATATTTTACCGCGAACTTATAGACGCGGCGGCCTACGGCCTACGTAATAACTTGCGGCGGACCGGACGGGTTTTAAACAGCTGCTCCTAACATGAAGAGGAGCACAGTCCTCGTATAGGAAGAGTCTCGCGCAAGGAAAAGAAACGTATTAGGTTGATAACGAAATGGCCTCTTGGGAATTATATTACGCGCCATTCAAGTGTTATAGACGCAGGGATAAAATCCTATTACGAATAAGATACTATTTTATAAAATGTTATCACCTGGCCGTACGTGGAACTGATTTTAAACAGTCGATTATTATGAAACTTTTACCGTTCTGCAATTAACGATTGCAAATTGATTAAGCAACCTGACGAGCAACAACGAATTTGTCATTGTATTGCGTAGAAAAGAAGGCACTTCCTTTTCGCGATTATAGCGCGGCAATCAGAAATATTTAATTAAGCCTCCGCAAATAGCGCAAAAGAGAGCCGCGACTTTCTCAAAGTAATAAAATAAGCAACGATATTGGCAATATCTTGGCGGAAATAAACTCATTGGATCGCTAGCTAAACGCGCGGCGATGGTTAACGCGTAAGGCAAGTCTTGCGAAACGAGGCTCGTGCAAGATCATTTTCAATTAATGGACGTTGCGGGGTATTTTAAGCCGGTCGCCGCGCGAGCACATGTTTCCACGACACTTTACTCAAAGCCTAAACGGAAGTAACAAATGATTTCGCACGCGCGATAGCTTTGGGACCGCCCGTCAGTTGTAAAGGCTCATCTCAGCTGGCACAAACGACCGTACAACTGGCATCTATTCAAACAACAATTACTAATAACCGTGTTTACCGTACGTGCATCAGAGAAGCTTCACATATTCCCGTCTTTGCGCGCAATCTTCGAGGATAGTCTTTGTAAGTAATGGCCGAAATCTCTCGCCTCGTACTAATAAATTTTTCAACGTCAACGCGAGTCTCGCTAATCCGACAGATATCAATATTTGAATTAATCTGTTACACAGCACAACCAGAGATTGTACATAGGTTGCGCGCGTGAAATGGCCAATGAGAATAAAATGTCGGTTGTAAGCGGCAATAAAACGAACGCACGAGAACATGGCAAAGTTATATTAATTTATAGTTTAGCGCTATTTCTGCGGGAAAAGCTTAAATCATACAAGTTGTACGAATGAGAGTGCTATCAGTGTCGAGGCCTTGGTCTAGTAAACGCGTAGCTAACTTCGTACATTTTTTTCATGAACGTAAAAGTGATCAAGCAGCGAGCGATAATTAAATGCGCAATTAAACCAGCAAAGCGGAGTAAAGTTAATTATTCGCGCAGATTACTGTAAATTATCTCTCGAAAACACGTGGAAACACGTTAAGGAGATATGTTGATTTGTTCGATAATATGTAAGGAAATGAAATTTACATTGATAGCAGTTTCGCGTAGATCATTGAACACAGTCGCGAGTTGTTCGAGAGGGAAAAGTACCTGTAATGTCCTTTAATATATTTTCCGCGGAAAATCAATTTCTCTCGCCTAACTATTTCGCACGGTATCTTGCGCCAGCTCCTTTTAAGCACATCGAATCTCGCACCGAGTGCGCGGAGAGTGGAAATGAAAATTTCGCTTATTAGCTTTACCTTACGTTCCGCAGCGACGAATAACAAAATGCTTCGCGCAACTCAACGTTTTTAAATTTCAGACAACACGTGCTGGTCGCACATCGTAACTTTGCGACACGGCTGCAATACGACCCGAATGCGCGGCGACTTGTACGAACGAATTTACATGCTTATCGGTTTATCACCGTAACTTTCAAGGTGTCAGACAGGCGAGCGCCTCGTAAACCGCAATAACAACAAGAAAGCCATGACTGATTAGAAGCGGAGCAATTACAATAAATTATTATTCATAACGACACATTTAATCGTTAGTTTTGCTGGCGATGCGATAATAAAGTACGATCGCTGTCACTTAAATTATAAGCCGTTAATAATCCTGTTTTCACGATATCGATCTTGTATTTATCATATTTTTGCAGCTTAGTCATTGCCTGCCAATGACAACAGTGCGTCACCCAAGTTTATTTCCGCTTAAGACGTGCGATCCGGTGTTCAATGTGGAGACTTACCCATTCCACTGACGAGATTCAACGCGAAAATAAGAGATCGCGTTTCCAAAGCGAGCAAATTTCATCTCACGTGGAGGAAGATAACATTTTACGTTCGTTCCCATTATTTCGGAAATAGATGAGCGCGTTCTAAGTATCGCACGAGGAAAAGATCCGTAAGAAGAGCGGAGAGAAGCAACGAGAGGTACGAGAGGAAAGAGATCTGGTTGCAGCATGCAAATGCCTTGGGTCATGCTTTTCCTTTTCCTTCACGATGTCCTGCAAGGAGGGCCGCAAAGGGCGCTTTATCATCGCATCGATTGCGCCTTGCGAGTTCGGCGCGGATCGCGCGAGGCAGCCGCGAGACAAAGGCAGAAATTCACGAAAGCGAACATTGTAATTGGCAAAGGTACAGGAAGAGGACGGAGACAAAAGGAAGAGACGCACAGAGAAGAGACGTTCGCGAAGAAGTCGAAGAAGTCGAAGGAGTCGAAGGAGCGTAGGCCGTGGATCCGTGATCCTCCACGCCCGCGCGCGAGCGCTTGGTACGAGAGAGAGAAAGAGAGAGAGTCGGCACCGATCCGGCTCTCCTCCTTCTTCGGGGTGATCCCGGTTGGTCTCCTCGGCCGGCACGGACCTCTCCCGCTATAAAACGTTCAGATAAAGCCGCGATGTTTATATGCAGGAATCGCGGCAAGAAGAAGAGAGAGGAGTGCCGTGTAGAAGGAGAGATATACCTGCCGGCCGCGCGCCGACAAAATAATAAGACAAAAGACGCCGGGGGTGGACGATGGTGAAGCGAGGGGAGGAGAAGAAGGAGGAGGGACTGCGATCAGGTAGGAAAGGCAGAGGAGGAAGAAAGAGCGAAGAGGAAACGAACGCCGGAGAGATAGGCCCGTGCGACCGGCGAGGTTGGGGAAAGAGAGCTGTATTGCAGACACAGTGGATGCTGCAACGCACGAAGGAGAAGACGGGACGAAGGGTGCAGGGACGACGAGAAAAGGAGGAAACCGGACAGGAATGCACGGACGAATGCGTCGTGTTACGGGCTACCCGACCGCGACGCTTATCTCGCGAGAGAGTGAGTGAGCTCTCATTAGAATCTCCTCTCTAGCTCGACCGGCTGTAAGGATTCGTGGACGACGAGCCTTGTCGCGCGGATACATCGAGACTGAAACGGGATTACTGTGCATTATATATCCGTAATTTGCGTTTTATCGGGACGCGAATGGTCAAACGCCACGCGATCAACGTTTATCCCCAGTCGATTTTCACAGAAAAATTAACGAGTATTCGAGATCGCGGAGTACCATTTATTCCTCGTGGTTATTTCAAGCGCAAGACTTTCCGGGTCGGCCTACGGAATAAACATAATTATGCTATAGCAATAATAAAAGCCATTCTTATATTGTTAGTCGAAGAGAAGCTTGTGTCTCTCTTTTGAGAAAATGATGGCAACCGATTAAATTTTCGTCGCGAAGGGACTAACTCGACAAATCATTTGGCAATTAACCCCGAGTCGAAATTTTGGCCCTATGTTGAACATTTAATTCTATTATTTAGTAGGACCTGGGACAGTAAAAGAGGTCGAACTGCAAGTACAAAGTTTACGCCTACCTTAAGGGGATGCTGGAGTGATTCTGCATTTTCGCACCTTTTGCACTTAAAACTGTCTGTTTCGTGGAAAGATTTGTGTAATACACAAATTAAATGGCACGTGTACAGATGATCGAAAGCAGCTTGCTATTCCGGCTAAATTAAAGAACAATATGATATCACTGAAACTATGTTTGTAAGTCTAATAAAAAATAATAGTGAGCAACACATATACTACATGTACTGTATGTATGTGTTGCTCACTATTATTTCTTATTGGACTTATAAACTTAGTTTCAATGATGCCGTATTATTCTTTCATTTGGCCGGAATAGCGAGCTGCTTTCGATCTGTACA